CAGCGGCCTCCGGAAAGCTCTCCAGGTAGAAACAGTCCAAGTCAAGCTCGCAGGCAGAGACAACAAAAACTTTTCTCAAAAGCCAAATATTCCAGAAAAAAGTTTCTGATCGGGGGAGCTGCAGGGGGTCAGCAGGCTCAGGCTCCCTGCAGATCAGGTCCAACAGCACAGAGGAATGAGGGAAAAAAAAAAAAACTTTCCCAGCTTGTGACTGCCACAAGATCCCAAAACCTGTATGATCACTTACTTGTCCGTCTCTTGTGACATGTTTGATCCAATGAACTCTCCCTTTATCTTCTCTCTAGCTCTCTGGTGGAACTGGACTTTCAAGTCTGTGCAGGTAAAGGTGTGTGTGAAAGGAAAGAGATGGCAGAACAAGAGCTACTGGTAATTCTTCTTTTTTTTTTTTCCTACCACCCTTCCCCCCCCCCCCTGTTTTTTTTTTTTCTTTCTCTTTCCCAGCCCAGCTAACAGGTAAGAGACAGGTAGAGACACTCCCCCAGCTCGCCCGTCCCATTCTCCACCTCTTTTCTGCAGTCTACAGGCTAGCACTGAGCCTTCCACTGTACTGCATAGTAGTGACATGGGACTGACGGGGAACGCCTGTTCACAAGCATTCTTACACTGATAGAATTATATAATAATAATAATAATAATATGTAGAGCGCGACAATCCACAGCAACCAGGCCCATCTCACCTGAGCTCTGCTCACAGACAGATTTTTTGTTGGAGCCAATGACATTAATAAAAATAATATATAAATATATAACAAAATATGATACTATATATAAATTATTACATAAATATATTAATATATTATTATTATTATTATTATTATTATTATTATTATTATTAATAACATTTGTAATATTATTATACTATTTTTTATTATTATTGTTATGTTGTTATTATTATTATTTATATTATTTTTATTATTTTTTATTATTATTATTATTATTATTATTATGTTATTATTTATATTATTATGAATATATATATATTATATATTTATCTCTATCGACTCATCCCTTACAGTTATTACCTTGGTATCACTTGATTCTTCCTTTTAGATTGTAAGCTATAATGAGCAGGGCCCTCTGATTCCTCTTGTATTGCATTGTATTATAACTGTACTGTCTCCCTCTACTTTGTAAAGTGCTGTGCAAACTGCTGGCATTATACACTCACCGGCCACTATATTAGGTACACCTGTTCAAACTGGTTCGAATCCCAATCATGACACCACCTGCCTGGAGTTTGCATGTTCTCCCTGTGCCTGCGTGGGTTTCCTCCGGTTACTCCGGTTTTCTCCCACTCTCCAAAGACATGCTGATAGGTTAATTGGGTCCTGTCTAAGTTGGCCCTAGTATGTGCATGTATGAATGTGAGCTAGGGACCTTAGATTGTACGGCCCTTGAGGTTTAGGGACTGATGTGAATGTACAATATATATATGTAAAATGCTGTGTAAATTGACGGTGCTATATAAGTATCTGTAATAAATAAAAAAAATAAATAAAATTGCTTGGTAACACAAATTGCTAATCAGCCAATCACATGGCAGCATTTAGGCATCTAGACGTGGTGAAGACGACTTGTTGAAGTGCAAACCGTGCATTAAAATGTGGAAGAAAGGAGATTTAAGTGACTATGAACAAGGCATGTTTTTTTTGGTGCCAGGTGGGCTGGTTTGATTATTTCAAAAACTGCTGATCTACTGGGATTTAAAGTGATATTAAAGGCTTACATTTTTGTTTCTAAAAATAAACACATCATACTTACCTGCTCTCTGCAGTGGTTTTGCACAGAGCAGCCCAGGTCCTTCTCTTCTCGGGTCCCCTGCTGGCGCTCCTGGCCTCTCCCTCCTGTCAGGTGTCCCCACAACAAGCAGCTTGCTATGGGGGCACCCTCTGCTCCATGTGTCCATTCACACACAAAGAGCCGCAGCCTGGCCCTGCCCCCTCTCTCTTCTCATTGGCTCACTGGCTGTGATTGAAAGCAGCAGGAGCCAATGTAGTAGGTCACACTTGCCACTTACTACTGTGTGCAGTACCCCCATGCAAGCATCCCTTTTTATACCTGTAAAATTAAAGGTCTTGGTTTGATTTGAACACCCCTGGTATCAAAAATTCTGTTCATAAGACCGAGATATCCAAAAAAAGGGAAAAAAGAAGAAGGGAAAAATGATGTATCATGTATTCATTTCCAGCATCAACCAGGAGGAATCGGATAGGGAATCCTAGTAGTAGCCAGGAATAAGGGGATAGATAAACCTAGAACCAATAAACATAGTACATGGTCCAGCAAGGAGCCATAAACAATAAAGAAAGATAAGAAGAAAAAGAATAATAGAAAGAGACCACATAAGTAGTCAATTATAATCCTCAATGATGACCATCCACCTAGAATGGACTTTCATCATTTTGGGCAATCAGGTTTGGTTGAGGTTAACAGTTAATCTGTTATTTTTGTATATCAAACAAGGTTGTCAAAAATCAAATCAGACAGAAATAATTTTGTCTATAACATTGACCAAAGTTATTAGAGGTCAGCCAGTCTGTGTTCCCATTATCCTAAATACCAGCTGTAGCACCCAGTGATCATTTGTATTCAGTAAGAGAAGGCTAAGCTTGGGAAATAGTGCATATTTGCCCCCCCCCCCCCCCCCCCACACAGGGATATTTGGGCTGGTGGTCCTAAGCAGAGATACAGTACTTTGATATTTTGACATTTAGTGGATTATCATATAACTACCAACCCCATATTCAGATCTATGATCACAGAATCAGGTAGAAGGAAGTCCTCCAGCACCAACTTTTTTGAGGCTGAGATGTCATGTGACTGAATGTCGAGAGTCACAAAGGAAGCTGGTGCAGGAAGATGTCAAAATGTGTGTCACAATAAGGGCTCATGTACACGGGCATTTAGAAAACTCTTCTGAACGATGGAAACTGACTGCTGGAAAACGTAGGTTAAAAAAACGTCAGTTTAGCTGCGTTTGCATACCGCGTTTATGCGCATTTATGTGTGTTTGCGTTTAGAAGAGTTTTTCAAAAGATAACCTCAGGAGACCTTCCCAAATGCCCAGAATGTACTGAAAAATAGTAAACAATTAACTATTTCAGACATTTTGAGAGAAATAGAGAGAGCAGAAGCAGTGATATCAGTATGTGTTGAGATGACCTGTCTTTTCTGGTTGTATTAACTATGGATCCCATCATGAGCATAATGCGGCACGTTCTACCATTTGTTCCTTCACGCAAAACCTGGAACTGACTGCGCTGGTGTACCGGGTCCATTTGAATATATGGAAAATGCTTTGCATGCATTTCTGATGATGAAAAAAGGCTCTGGACAGCGAACAGTTAAAAATCGCGTTTACACGCGTTTACAAGCATTTGGCATTTGAAACATCTGTAAAATCTACTCCTGAATGCAAGTTTGGTGCGTTCAAAAAAACGACTGTAAACTCAAATGCCTGTAAACGACATAGTGTACATGGACACATAGGAATACATTAGGGAGAGTTCAGAGGCTGCTGAAAAAAAAACAGCTCCGAACGTCAGTTTAGGAGCTGCAGTGTACATGAACCCTAGATCATTATTATTATTATTATTATACAGGATTTATATAGCGCCAACAGTTTGCTCAGAGCTTTACAATATAACGGGAGACAATACAGCAACAATACAGTTCAATACAAGAGGGTTAGGAGGGCCCTGATCCTTGGAGCTTACAATCTAATCATGGCCTTTAAGTTTGACATACACAATCAGATTGTTCAATTTATGAACAATCTCCTTTAGATTTACTAAAACTATATGAAGACTAACTTTATAAATCTATACAATTACTATTTAAGTACTTCATTACCGTGCACTTTACCCCCTTCCTGCCCAGGCCAATTTTCAGCTTTCAGCGTTCTCACTCTTGAAATGACAATTGCGCGGTCATGCAACGTTGTACCCACATGAAATCAATATTTTTTTTTTACACAAATAGAGCTTTCTTTTATTTAATCACCACTGTTTTTTGTATTTTTTTTGCTAAATAAACGAAAACAAGACTGAACATTTTGAAGAAAAATGTGTTATTCTTAGTTTCTGTGATACAATTTTGCAAATAAGTCATTTTTCTTCATTCATTTTGACAAAATTTGTACTGCTTCATTTCTTTGGTAAAAATAACCCAAATCAGTGTATAGTATTTGTTATGTAGGAAAGTTGTAGAGTCTACAAGCTATGGTACGTATCATTGAAAATTGATCACACCTGATGTACTAATCTCATTTCTTGAGACACTATTATGTTAGCACAGTACAAAGATCACCCAAATGACCTCTTTTTTTGGAAAGTAGCCAGTCCAAGGTATTTAATAAGAGGCATGGTGAGTTTTTTCCCACAATTCTGTGGAAAATTAAGAAATGAAATAATTTTGTTTTTTCATAAAATTGTCATATTAACAAGTTATTTCTCTCACACGGCATAGGCATACTTGCAAGTACCCCCCTAAATACATTCTTCTACTCCTCCTGAGTATGGTGATAGCACAAGGTAGACCCTTGTACTACATTGTTGGTGGTAGATCAAGGAGCTTGTACATTCATGTAACGCCTTGGTTCATTTTTATTATATGGTGCATTGATGAGAGAAAGAAAAGGTTCCTTTTGCTTTTGTTCAGTTCACAGGAAGTGATAAGGACACATTTCTGGCAAAATCAACATGTCATTTCTGTACTTGCTGAAAATGTTCCTAATCTGAGAAACTAATGCAGCCACCACTTCTAAAGACTGGTAAGCTGTAACATATTACATGTGTGCTTTTGGGTTTAGATATGCTTTAATAATAAGTTATTATGTTATCATGTCATAAATATTTTCTTTTACTTAAAGCAGAGTTCCAGCTGAAAAAAAATAAAAATAAAAGTCAGCAGCTACAAAAACTGTAGCTACTGACTTTTAAAAAATACACTTACCTGTCCCTGAGTCCAGCGATGTCCTCACCACCAGGGGTGGACTGACAATTCATGGGGCCCCCCAGGCAATAGGGGATCATGGGGCCCCTGTGTCCTTGCCCAAACTCAAAAAAGCCTATGAAAAAGGTACCAGGGGCATCTCATGGGGCCCCGTACTGACTCCGGGCCCTCAGGCAGTGCCCAAGTTTCCAAATCATCAGTCTGCCCCTGCTCATCACGGCTGGTTTCACAGGCCATCTTCTCTTCCTGGCGCCTACATCTTTAGTGTGGGCACCTGGCTTTGACAGCTTGTGGCTTCACAGCTGGGTGCCCACTGCGCATGCGCGAGAATGGCCCCGTAGTCTTCTGGGACCTGTCACATGTCCCAAAAGACTACGGGGAGGGAGGGAGGGTAGGAGGACAACCTTCTGCTTCCGATTGCCTAGGCGATCGCAGCGGAAGTGGGAATGGGTACCTGTCAAATTCGGGTACCCGCTCCCCCCCACTCCCCAAAGGTGCCAATCCTTAATGGGGAGTGGGGGACAAAGCATTAAAGCGGAACTTCTCCCTTTTGGGTGGAGCTTCACTTTAACAAGAAAGTGCAGCAATGGGAGAAGGAGCAGCAGCACTGAGAGCTAATGAGCTGAAAGTAAACATGCTGATAGGGGGAGAGAGCAGAGTGAGTGGAGGGATGAACTCATCATGGTGCTGCTGCTATTTCATTGTCCACTCAGCAAGCTGAGGGTGTGAGTTGACCAGTGATTTGACCAAGCTATGCTGGTCAAGTACATTGCTGTTCTGTCTGGCAGGAATGCCTAAATCACAAAATTACCTGCACAGAATTACAAATCTTTTGGCAAGTAAAACCATATTTTATCTATGTATTTAGCTGCTTGCGTGGAGTTTAGAATTAAATACATACTAATGTGCACTATAGTGCTCTGTGGTTGTGAACCACAAGTATTTATTTATTTATTTCAGGTACTTATATAGCGCCATCAATTTACGCAGTGCTTTACATATATATTGTACATTCACATCAGTCCCTAACCCTCAAGGGGTGTACAATCTAAGGTCCCTAACTCACATTCATACATACACATACTAGGGACAATTTACACAGGAGCCAATTAACCTACCAGCATGTCTGTGGAGTAAGTAAACTTCCATTGTTCTGGTCTGGGGTCCATTGTTTGTTATCAGTGTGATGTGTGTTCATTATTTGAAACAGCCCAACATTTCCAGAGCCGAGTAACCATATACTGTACATTTGATGACTGTTGCCCAATTCCGCCAATACAGTCGGCTCAAGAAACAATAAAAGGTATGTGATATGTGATCTATGAGGAAGTACCCCTGGAGGTCTGATTTGGAAGAAGCATTGAGGTTGATTTACTAAAGGCAAATAAACTGTGAACTTTGCAAGAGCAGTTGCTCCAGAGCTTAGTGAATGAGCAAGAGCTCTGCTGACTTCTATCATCCAATCATGTGCAAGCAAAATGCTATTTTTAAAAATTTTTTAATTTTCCTTGCACATGATTGGGTATTCTTTGCAACGTGAAGCTTCCCCTCATTTACTAAGCTCTGGAGGAACTGCACTTGCAGAATGCAACTGCACTTTCCAAAGTGTACAGTCTGTTTGCCTTTAGTAAATCAACCCCATTGCCTTTAGCCACACCATGCTATAGCCGAATGACAGCTAAAGTGCACTAGACCAGTCCTGGGAGGGCGTCATATGACTTCCTCCCAGAACGTGCCCCCCGCACGCCCCCAGGGGCACGCACCCGGCGCTGTCTGTGAACGATGTGTCCTTTGGACACAGCTGATCACATAAAATGGTAAAAGGCCAATCACAGCAGCCTTTTGCCATATGATCAACTGTGTCCAATCACACCTGACCACTATGTAAATACACTTGTCGGTTATCTGCAGTACTTTCCTCACGCTGTCACAGTGTGAGCAAAGTACTGTCAGTATCCGCCAACTGTCAAAGCAGACATCTGCACTGACTATCAGGGCACTGATAATCAAAAGTGCCCAACAGTGTTGCCCAGCAGTGCTGCTCATCAGTTTCCAGCACTGCTGCCCATCAGTTCCCAACAGTACACCCAGCAGGCTACCAATCTGTGCCTGTCAGTGCCGCCAGTCAGTGCCGCCTATCAGTGCTGCCAGTCATTGCTGCCTATCAGTGCCGTCAGTCAGTGCCCTTCAGTGCCGCCTATCAGTGCCCATAATTGCCGCCTATCAGTGCCCATCTGTGCCAGATATCAGTAAAGCATCATCAGTGCCTCTTCATCAATGCCCACCAGTGCTATCTCATCAGTGCAGCCTATCAGTGCCCATCAGTGCTGCCTATCAGTGCCACCTCATCAATGCCCATCAGTGCTGCCTATCAGTGCCCATCAGTGCTGCCTATCAGTGCAGCCTCATCAACTCACATCAGTGAAGGAGAAAAATTACCTGTTTGCAAAATGTTATAATAGAAACAAAGAAAACCTTTTTTTCAAAATGTTTGCTCTTTTTCGTTTATAGTGCAAAAAATAAAACACCCAGTAGTGATTACATACCACCAAAGGAAAGCTCTATTTGTGTGAAAAAAGAATGATAAAAATGTCAAATGAGTACCGTGTGGCATGACCGAGCAATTGTCATTCAAAAAGTGCAACAGCACTGAAAGGTGAAAATTGTCCAGGGCAGGAGGGGGATGTGCCCTGTAGACAAGTGGTTAAATTTCTCTATTGATAACACTTTCCGCCATGTTTGCCTTTCTTTTTTGCATTTCATTCTTCTTCTTCCTGGCTTAGCATCTTAGAATTGCCTCAAGAAAGAAGCAGCGCTTTCTGCAAAGTCCAAAACTTTTTTTACATTTGCACATAAGATCCAATTTTAAAAAAAGTGCTTGCACCTAATACAAGCCATCTAATGAAACCAAAAGATTAGAGACATTAAAGTGTATGTATAGCTTTTTGTTTTTAGTGTAGGATAGACTAGAGAAGGGTTAACCCTCACCAGGTTATATTTTCTGTTGTCTGTGTAAAATTGGGGAAATTTACCGTCACATTCTGTCCCAGAGATGCAAAAGGAAGTTATAGGAAATCTCTCAACTTAAGGGGGATTCCCCTCTTAGGCAGTTGTCCTCGGAACACAGGTGTCCCCATTGGAAGGTTTTTACCCACCTACTTCTGAGGACCGGTCAAAAATATAATTAGTAATCATGGTCACCAGTACAAATAGAAGGGTGAATCTCCCAAAGGGGACACATACAGTAAAAAAAAAGTTGACAGAGGGTATAACCCTTCCCCATTGTGTGCAAAACTAGAAAACAAGATTTGTGCCTAGAGATACATCTAAAAGAATTTTACAGGGAGGGGTTTCATATGCAGTGCATTTCACCACAGTCCGTCTTCCCGAGGTGCTCCACTGATTGAAGCCAGGCAGGACTCAGGAAACAACCAGTACTCAGGAAATAGAGTGGTCAAGGACCACTGCTGTACTCTGTGTACTAGAGAAATCCCTGCAGGGGTACTGACTTGACCTCTGCAATGAGCTCCCAGTAGCCATCTTGGGGAGGCCCTGTGCCTATTAAAGACATATGATTCACACTAGATTTAGTGGCACAGACATGGTCTATAAATGTAACATAAATATGATGTGCTGTGTCACAGATGGGTGTCCTTGAAAGGAAGAGCACATAGGACAGCACCATGATGTGAGTGGAAAGATTGTCCCATGTGGACATCCGTATTTGGATGTGTTCAGAGAGAAGTATACAGGACACTGTTGAGCACAGGTGACTTCACTTAGTGGAACTGTATAGCTGCTGTAAAGTGCTGTGAGTACCCATGGTGGAAAGTACTTTACGCTTAGTTTGGTAGACCCTTTGGGGGGCAGAAGTTCCATTTTAAGGGACCAACTGAGCACCCTTGTCACTGTGAGCACCTGAACACTAGAAGTCTTGGAAGATGCTAATTCTATTGAGACTTGCCTTAAGCCACCATGTTGGAAATGCCATCTTATGATAACAATATTGTGGGCTGACCAGTTATGTTGAACACAATCTGAATCTGACTGAACATTCTGTAATGTGCTGGTGTGAAGAGTGAGTAAACTACTGTTGAGCTAGGTGGGGAAGAAATATTTGGCCTATATAATTGAGAGCACTGCTATGGAATAAAGCTCTTGGCTCTCACATTATTTGAAGCGGACTGACTGCTTGGAGATGGAACTTCCAACTGCCCTGGTGGAATGTCGGCTCTATGTACATTGCCTGAAGCCCCTGGAAATAGAGTAGACTCTCAAGTCAAGGAGTTCACCACCTTAAACTGTGTAATAGCAGGCCATACATATGTGCAGGGTTACCAACCTTACCAACCCTCCTATATCTGAACTTTCTAGAGGATTTTGATGCCTAGAGGAACCTACTGTAAGGTGCAGTTGCAATCCTGACCTACCTCACCGGGTGGGCCTTGGCCTTAACAATCTGTGCATGTGAGGCATACAGTAAGTTGTGCCCTAAATACACTTTAAACATATAAATAATGCAAATGTTTCCAGCACTGGATCACCTAGGCCAGCCATCCCCAACCTTTTTGGCACCAGGGAATGGTTTCATGGAAGACAATTTTTTACACAGACCGGGGGAGCTGGGGGTGGGGGGTTGGGTTGGTGGTGATTTGGATGGTTTTGAGATGATGCAAGTGCATTACATTTATTGTGCACTTTACTTCTATTATTAAATTGCAATATATAATGAAATAATTCAACTCACCGTAAGCCAGAATCAGTGGGAGCCCCGAGCTTGTTTTCCTGCAACTAAAAGACCCCATCATCTAATTGTCACTTGCTGCTATAAAGCCTGCCACCAGATACAGCTTAATTGTCAGGGTTTTCATAGGAGTCTCTGTGTAGTCAAACCTCTCTGTATGATCTGTATTTTCAGCCTCTCCCCAGTGCTAGCATCACCGCCTCAGCTCCACCTCAGATCATCAAGCATTAGATTCTCAAGGAGCACAAAACCCAGATCCAGTGCATGCGCAGTTTACAATAGGGTCTGGCCTCCTATGAAAATCTAATGCCACTGCTGATCTCACAGGAGGTGGAGCTCTGAAGGTAATGCGAGCGGCTGTGAATACAGATCAAGTTTTGCTTGCTAACCCGCCGCTCACCTCCTGTTGTGTGGCCTGTGTGGCCTGTGTGGCCCAGTCTCCAACAGGCCACGAACCAGTACCAGTCCACGGCCCGGGGGGTTGGGGACCTCTGACCTAGATGATCTGAGCTGAAGTAGGGGCAAGTACCTGTCAAAATTAGATAACGCTCTGCCCCCCAAAAAATGTAGTGTGCCAAATGTGGTGGGGGAGAGGAAGACATAAAGTGGAACTTCCCCTATAGGGTGAGTATAAGTGGGTGCTGAATGCAGAGGAGTATTCAGGACCTATGTTTCTCCAGGCCATGTCTTCCTGGCTATTTGGTGCTTCCCTAGCCTGAAAGGGTTCTGTGAGAGCACAGTCTAAGTTGATGGACTTGCCATGTTAGCCATGGCCTTAATACTGCAAATTATGATGCATTGTGGCAGTGCTGGGCATAATGAAGTGTACGCTTAGCATATATCTTCTTGAAGAATGTTGGGGAGGCATCCAGAACAGCCATATATCTTGTTCCAAGCACCCTTTCATAAAGCCTGCATATACTGTTCCTTAAACGATAAGTTCACTTTGGGGACATGTTACATGTTCCACCCATTTTTGGGGTGGAACATGTAACATATTCCCATAGCTGCAGCCGAAATGGTAGGCCATGTAAAATGACAAAGCGGGGGTCAGCGCACGCTGAAGCGCACAGTGTGCAGAAGTCGCCAACTGTCCACAGAGTCAAGAGCTAAAGACCTCCAAACTTCATGTGGCCTTCAAATTAGCACAACGGTGTGTAGAGAGCTTCATGGAATGGGTTCCTGTGGCTGCATCCAAGCCTTACATCATCAATTGCAATGCAAAGCATCGGATGCAGTGGTGTAAAGCACACCACCCCTGGACTCTAGAGCAGTGGAGACGTGTTCTCTGGAGTGACAAATCACGATTCTCTGTCTGGCAATCCGATGGATGTGTCTGGGTTTGGCGGTTGCCAGGAGAACGGTAATTTCCTGACTGCATTGTGCCAAGTAAAACATTTGATGGAAGGGGATTATGGTGTGGGGTTGTTTTTCAGGGGTTGGGCTTGGCCCTTTAGTTCCAGTGAAGGGAACTCTTAAGGCATCAGCATACCAAGACATTTTGGACAATTTCATGCTCCCAACTTTGTGGGAAGAGTTTGGGGATGGCTCCTTCCTGTTCCAACATAGCTGTGCACCAGTGCACAAAGCAAGGTCCATAAAGACATGGATGAGCGAGTTTGGGGTGGAGGAACTTGACTGGTCTGCACAGAGTCCTGACCGCAACCAGATAGAACACATTTGGGATGAATTAGAGCCTGACCTCACAAATGCGCCTCTGGAAGAATGGTCTAACATTCCAAAGCTACCCCTGTCTTGAATTTTAAAGCAGACTTCCATTTAAAAGTGAAAATATTGCTAATCCACTCCCCCCCCCCCCCCCCCATCATATTTGAACTTTTTTTTAGGGTGGGGGAGGAGTGGGTACCTTTTTCTGACAGATATCCATTCCCACTTCTGAATTATGTAAGTTTGGAAGGCAGCATTTTTTCAATCCATATTTTCTTCTTTCTTTTTGAGGATTATAAAGAATATTTTACCACATGGCCAATCTATTTACTGCATTACTACACGTTATTAAAGTTTCTCAGTGTGTCCAAATTATACATAAAAAATATAGACCTCTTTTTTTCCAGGAAAGATTACTTAAGCTTACTAACCTGTCATAGACTTTCAGAATTAATCTTACCCTGTCCTGATTCAGTCCACAGGGAGCTCCATTTGGTTATCTGAAAATAATGTCTGTGCTGCCCCAAAGAAACCAGACCTGTATTAGAAAATGACAGTTGAAAAATGAGTTTAATCAAAGCCTGATGTCATTGTGTACTTAGACAGTTTGGGGCCAATTAAAAAAATAGACCACAATTATGAAGTACAGTGATGTGATTATTAGATGTTCTTAGCCTCCAGCTAGTTTCAGAGCTCTGAAGCCAGCGTAGCTGTATTAAAATGAAGACAGTATTAAAATGAAAAAAACCTGTTAATAGCCTGTGGGAAAGCCCAGTCGTGTGACTTGTCAAAGTCACATGACCAGCTGTACTCTAATCACAGAGCTTTTTCTTCTGCATTGTTGGGCAGCGAGAACTCCATGGGGTACTAGAAGATTCTTTCCACAGCCTGCATTTTATGAATGGGCTGCAAAAAGACTTTCATTACAATTGCCAGTATTCATTGTAGCACTACCCCCTTAGGAGTCACTGAAGATTTGGGACCCCCTATGATCCTGCACAGCCAGGCAACACACTCATTTTCCACAGACTTGCATTCCAGAGACAGTGAAAAGTCCTTGAGCTTGCTTTTTTAAGTTTTATTAGGGGAATTGAACTTGAATGGGGTGGGAGGTGTATGAGATGCCCAAAGAACAGTAAACTGAGGACAACTTCCTGGCAACTATGTACAAGTCTTTTTTAAAGCAAAATGTTCTTTCTTGGAGAGCTCTCCAGCCTCTCTTAGTGTACCATCCCAGACCCCAGATGAATGCTCTTCTCATCCAGCTATCTGGAGGAAATCCCTGGGCAAGGGGATCCAGTGCCTGCCACTTTAAGTTGAAACAGTCCTGGGCAAGGAGCTAGTCAGTTTTCCCACCAGAATGCCCCTTTCCCCTTAACTGTCCCAGGGGTGTAGGATTACTCACTCTTCCTCTCCTGTTTGCTTGTTGGGTTGGTGGCTGCCTTCAGGCCTTTTGCTGTGCTGACTTCTTCCATGCAGCACAGGTGGTAATCCTCTGGGAATCCTTTCCAGCACCTCTGCCTGGAGGTAGGCCCCTTCCCACTGAGCCCCCTCCCAGGCTCCTGCATCTCAGCCTGCCTCACATCTTCCACCTGAACTCTCCTGCCTCTGAGCAGGCTCAGTCACTCTTAAGGGCTGTCCTGACCCCATGCCCTCCTGCCTGGGGATTGGCTAGGATCTCTCAAGTGTGCAGGCCAGCTCCTCCTCACCCCCGCCCACTGAGTTCTAGAGATTTCTTCAAGTCTCTAGATCAAGGGGGGGCATCAGTGAGCTGATCTGCAGAAACTTTCGGCCCTGACCCTAATCTGACCCCTCTGACTATCACCCAGGCCTCAGCCTTCTATCTATAAAATAATTAGCCATCTCCCTCTTGCTAACTAAGATGGTGCGACGTTCTTAAAATGAGCCTAAATGAGCCTATTAGCCTTAATAATTACTTTTGAACTTGTATATAAAAAGGGTACAAACAAGAAAAGTTCTTGTTGCCCATTACAGCCATTTAAAACTCCACACTGTAGAAATGACAGTTGGAAGTTAATTGGTTGCTTGGAGAACAAGAACCTTCTTGATACAATTTTAATAGTCCCTTTGTATATATAATAACCCATAGGTGTTGATATTAGAGCCTATTACACAAGAGCAGGCACATTGGCAGTGAATGGACTCATACCAGCCTGTCTTTGCCAGTATTCTTTAACTTCTTTACAAATGGGAAGTGCCAGCAATCCTATGTCCTATGTACTGTACTTGTGCTTGTTCATGGAATCAGTGGCTTGTACAGTTGTGACCAAAATTATTCAACCCCCAATGCTGTAAAGGGTTTAGGGACTATAGTGTACATTTGGAATTGTATTCAGAATCAAATCCTACAAGGACGTTGTAACTACCCAAATGCAACTAAAATGACATCAATTGTTTATGTAATACAGTAGTAAATGGTTCTTATGTGGTTTCTTCATTGCCACAATTATTCAACCCCTTAAAGACTACCACTCTGAAGAACAGAGGTTCATACAGGTGCTTTCCATCAGGTATTGAAAACACCTGTGGATGTCACCGAGCAGCAATCAAGCATAATAAGCACCAATTAGGCAGCTTTAAAATGGACTGTGATACTCAGCTCTTCTAGACATTTACTGGTGTGGTTACAAACATGGTGAAGGCAAGAGAATGGTCCAGGAAGACAAGAGAAGAGGTGATTTCTCTTCACAGGAAGGGCAATGGCTATAAGAAGATTGCAAAGATGTTAAAACATACCAAGAGACACCTTAGGAAGCATCATTCGCAAATTCAAGGCAAAGGGCACTGTTGAAACGCTACCTGGTCGTGGCAGAAAGAAGATGCTGACTTCGACTGCTGTGCGCTACCTGAAGCGTAGAGTGGAGAGAAGTCCCCGTGTGACTGCTGAGGAACTGAGAAAAAAGATTTGTCAGATGTGGGTACAGAAGTTTCAGCCCAGACAATAAGACGCACACTGCGTAATGAAGGCCTCCGTGCCAGAACTCCCAGGCGTACCCCCTTGCTGTCTCCAAAGAATAAGAAGAGTCGACTGCAGTATGCCAAAAGCCATGTGGACAAACCACAAAAGTTGTGGGATAGTGTTCTGTGGACTGATGAAACAAAATTAGAACTGTTTGGGCCCATGGATCAACGCTATGTTTGGAGGAGGAAGAACAAGGCCTATGATGAAAAGAACACCTTGCCTACTGTGAAGCATGGTGGAGGGTCAATCATGCTTTGGGGCTGTTTTGCTTCTGCAGGTACAGGGAAGCTTCAGCGTGTGCAAGGTACCATGAATTCTCTTCAGTACCAGGAGATATTGGATGGAAACGTGATGCAGTCCGTCACACACCTGAGGCTTGGGAGACGTTGGACCTTTCAACAGGACAATGATCCAAGCATACCTCCAAGTCCACTAGAGCATGGTTGCAGAGGAAAGGCTGGAACATTTTGGAGTGGCCATCGCAGTCACCAGACTTAAATCCGATTGAGAACCTCTGGTGGGACTTAAAGAAAGCAGTTGCAGTGCGCAAGCCTAAGAATGTGACTGAACTGGAGGCCTTTGCCCATGAAGAATGGGCGAAGATACCCGTAGATCGCTGCAAGACACTTGTGTCAAGCTATGCTTCACGTTTAAAAGCTGTTATAACTGTAAAAGGATGCTGTACTAAGTACTAAGATTGAATGTCACTTGGGGGTTGAATAAAACTGATAATGCTGTGAGCACAGAAAAGACATTTGTGGTTATTTCATTATAACTGTTATGTTATATTTGTCTGACCTACAAGTGCCTCTTTAATGTAAATGTAAGCAAGATGACTGAATGATCAAAAGCAATGTCAAACTGGCCAAAACACTCAATTTCAGTGGGGGTTGAATAATTTTGGTCACAACTGTATATTGTGCTGATAACTAGACACACAGCCTGAAATGATTCTATTTGTATCAAATCTTATGATTACATAATGTCACATCATGTGATAAAGCCTCAAGGGGAAAAAAAAAGCTTCAACACTATAACCGGACATAAATATTTGCTGCTATGAAAGTATTCTTGTCAGGATAAGATGTATGAAGGGAGGTTTTAGTGAACAAATGTCTTAAAATAGACCTGTACTAGGAAAAATATTAACTAGTTGCCGACCGCAGATAGCCAAATGACGGCTTCACTGCGGCTGGCCAGTTCTGGGTGGACGTCATATGACGTCCCCCCAGAACGCGCTCTCCTGCGCGCCCCAGGGGGCGCGCACCCGGCGATCTCCGTGATCGCTGTGTCCTACGGACACAGCTGATCACGAGATGTGGTAAAAGGCCAATCATACCGGCCTTTTACCACGTGATCAGCGGTGTCCAATGACACGCTGATCACAGGGAAATGCAAGTGCCGGTTCTCGGCTGCACTTTCCTCACGATGTCAGATCGTGAGGAAAGTACTGCTGAGAACCGGCAGTTGTCAGAGCGAGGATCAGCACCGATCATCAGGGCACTGATGATCAGTGCCCTGATGATCGGTGCCCAGCAGTGCCACCCACAAGTTCCGCCCACCTGTGCCCAGCAGTGCGCCCACCAGCTCCGCCCACCTGTGCCCAGCAGTGCACCCACCTGTGCCCAGCAGTGCACCCACCTGTGCCACTCTGCAGTGCCACACACCTGTGCCCAGAAGTGCCACCTACCTGTGCCCAGCAGTGCCACCCACCTGTGCCCACCCACCTGTGCCCACCAGTGCCACCCACATGTGCCCACCAGTGCCACCTACCTGTGCCCACCCACCAGTGCTGCCCACCAGTGCCACCCACCAGTGCAGCCCAGCAGTGCTGCCAGTCAGTGCCACCAGTCAGTGCCCAGCGGTTGTGCCAGTCAGTGCCGCCAGTCAGTGCCCAGCAGTGATGCCTGTCAGTGCCGTCTATCAGTACCCATCATCAGTGCCGCCTATCAGTGCTGCATATTAGTGCCGCCTATCCGTGACACCTCATTAGTGCTGCCTATCAGTGCCGCCTATACGTGCTACCTCATTAGTACTGCCTATCAGTGCCCTTTAGTGCTGCCTATCAGTGCCCATCAGTGCCGCCTATCAGTGCCGCCTCATCAACGCACATCAGTGAAGGAGAAAAATTACCTGTTTGAAAAATGTTATAATAGAAACAAAGAAACTTTTTTTTTTTTTTAATTTTTTGCAATTTTTTAATTTGTAGCGCAAAAAGTAAAGCGCCCAGTGGCGATTAAATACCACCAAAAGAAAGCTCTATTTTTGAGGAAAAAATGATCAAAATTTCATATGGGTACAATGTTGCATGACCGCGCAATTGTCAATCAAAGTGCGGCAGCGCTGAAAGCTGAAAATTGGCCTGGTAAGGAAGGGGGTATAAGTGCCTGGTAGGCAAGTGGTTAAGGTTTCCATTTCTGTCGGCCTGGCTGTTTCTGGTCTTGACACCTTTTCGAGGCATTGATGTTGAAAGAGCATACAGCTAGACCTGCATACACTTTGTGGGTATCTGATTCATTCTTTGGCTTCAGGATTTTCTTGATCCAGATAGCATACAATCGGGGGGGGGGGTCAAAAGTCCTGTTTAAAGTTGGCCATGCACTATGCAATCTTCTTCTACAATCTTCTTTGGATCTACCAACAACTCTGGAATGTAAGGGCCTATGCAGTTAGATAGAATTGATTGGGTTGCATAGGTTTAAAAATGCGATTTGCATAGTCTTTGAATGAGACAAGGATGTGAATGTATAATATATATTTAAAATGCTGCATAAGTTCATGGTGCTATATACTGTAAGTACCTGCAAAAAATAAATAATAAAAATGTACTAACAGGTTTTAGTGTGTATGGCCACCATTATTTGTTGTTCTAGGTCAGTAAAAATTATTAAAGCCAATGGATCAGCCATCTTGTGACTGGACAGGCAAAGTAAAAGCAGCAGGCTAATGAGCTGACATCTTTGTCACTCCGTTCTTTCCTTCTATCAGCATGCTCATTGCACAGCAGTACAACTGGTTGGCTCCCTCTACTGTACAAGGGACTGATACCAATTCAAATTCAGGAACTTATACTGCTTACACAAAAAAAAACACCATTTAAAGAGAAGTGTGGATATAAAAAAAATGTACATCTGTACTCACCTACAGTTGCAAGAAAAAGTATGTGAACCCCTTGGGATTACGTGGAGTTTTGCATGAATTGGGCATAAAATGTGCTCTGAACGTCATCTAAGTCACAACAATAGAAGAACACAGTCTGCTGAACATAATACTACACAAACATTAGATGTTGCCATGGTTTGATTGCCCATAACATGTAAACATTCACAGTGCAGGGAGGAAAAAGTATGTGAACCTTTGGATTTAATAACTGGTTGACCCTCCTTTGGCACCAATAACCTCAACCAAACGTTTCCTGTAGTTGCAGATCAGACCTGCACAACGATCTGGAGTAATTTTGGACCACTCCTCTTCACAAAACTGTTTCAATGTAGCAATATTCTTGGGATGTCTGGTGTGAATCGCTCTCTTAAGGTCATGCCACAGCATTTCAATCGGGTTGAGGTCAGGACTCTGACTGGGCCACTCCAGAAGGCGTATTCTGTGCTGTTGCAGCCATTGTTTTGTTGAATTACTTGTATGCTTTGGATCATTGTCCTGTTGCATCACCCATCCTCTGTGGAGCTTCAGTTGGGGGACAGATGGTTCGTATGTAAAATGTCTTGATAAACTCTGGAATTCATTTTCCCATCAATGTTTTCCTGAGGCAAAAGCAGCCCCCAAACCATGTCTTTCTCCGATGTTTTACAAACTTTTTTCCATGGATTGTAGATTGTCATTTAGCATGTGCCCTGTATCAATGACAATGCAATCCGTCCTTGCATTCCCTGAGGCAGCAAAGCAGCCCCAAAACCATGATGCCTTTGGAACCCTTTCCGCCATGTTTTCTTGACAGTGGGGATGAGATTTTTCCATTCTTGTTTAATGTGTTTCTAATATCATTATTGTAGGTTGTCACTCCTGTCAACAAAAATGTTAGCATGTGCCCTGCAGTGCAGATTATCTGTAGGGTAACATCTAATTATGTGTAGTATTATTCTATTGTTGTGACTTAGATGACGTTCAGAGCACATTTTATGCCCAATTCATGCAAAACTCCACGTAATCCCAAGGGGTTCACATACTTTTTCTTGCAACTGTATGTTGCTGCAGGATCAGTCTGATGCTGCAGCTGTCCCCCACGGACTCTAAGACTGAGAACTGGGTGATCACATGACCGTCGATTGCTCAGTTCTTGGTCTTCACTGAGCAGAGATCATGACTGTCAGTCACCAATCTCTGCTCTTCCTCTCCAGCGTTCACTGGAGCGCCGCATCATGGAGGGGGCAGGAATGACTGGCAAGCTGCCAGTAAGGCATCTGGGTGGATCCTGACAGTATTGTTGAGATGCATGCAGAGACTGGAGCGGCTGGCTGATGTCAGGTGACTGTCGGCTGAATCTGGGTCACAGGACTGCAGAACTAAGTGCACTCCTCTGACCCAGAAGAGAAGTGTGGCCAAAAAAGCTTTAATGAGAACTGTATTCATTTGTGTTTTTTATAGATGCGTGGAGTCCAGTTTTCAGTCTCATAAACATTAGGGGCGTACAACATAAAATTCTGGGGATCCAAGGTGCTGTGTCCAGCCACCCATAGACACGAATGGCTGTACTTGGATATACCCTGGTACTCATAATCCTGCATATAGCTTACAAACATCATCCCCAAATGCAGAAAATTTATGATCCAGCCTATACCCACGTACAGCTGCATACCTGCATACAGCCATTCATGTCTATGGGCGGCTGGACACAGCACTTGGGGTTCCCATGGACAGAACAAAGCCAGAATTTTACGTGCCGGTAAAGACTGCTGCTTCCTCTAAAAAGAGATCCATGCCTGAAATGCTTTTCAGATAGGTGGTGACGAGGTGATATGTTGCCTCCTCCCTACCTGATTTAACTCTTTAAATGTCGCAGTACTGTGCCACAATCACATGCATTGCACTTGGTTGCGGGTGGCCCCATAGACCTGCATTAGTTGTGTTCAACAATGAAAAGCGACATGCTGTTTAATCTTTGCCATTTAACTTTTTGGCATGTGTGCAGCCATGCATGGCTCAATCACCTGGATTTTACTGCCACCCAGTCGCACATATGAACGAATCCTTAGGCCTCATGCACACACAGCATTTGCTTTTCTACTCTGAACGTGAGAACTCCTGGCAGGAGAAAACCTTGTGTATTGCACACACATTGAGACACGTTTAGGCGTGTTTAGCATCGTCAAGCGTTTGAGAATATCATTATATTATTATTATGCAGGATTTATATAGTGGCAGCAGTTTGCGCAGCGCTTTATAAAATGAAGGCAGACATTACAATTACAATACAATTTATTTTGGCCATTGGATTGCATTAAAGTGATTCTAAAGGCTCAAGGATTTTTACCTTCATGCATTGTATGTCTCTGAAGATAAAAAAAACCTTCTGTGTGCAACAGCCCCCCCCAGCCCCCTAATACTCACCTGAGCCTCATCGCGATCCAACAATGCGAATGACAGCCTCCGCTGTCCCAGGTCTCTGCCTCCTCATTGACTAAGGCAGCAAGCAGGAGACATTGGCTCCCGCTGCTGTCAATCACAGCCAGTCAACCAATGAGGAGGAGGGAGGCAGGGCCAAGTCACGGCTCCGTGTGGGAATGGACACACGGAGCAGCAGGTGCCCCCATAGCAAGTTGCTTGCTGTGGGGGCACCCCACAGGAGGAAGGGGCCAGGAGAGCCTGCGGGGGACCCAAGAAGAGGAGGATCCAGGCTGCTTTGCGCAAAAACCACTGCAAGGAACAGGTAAGTATGACATGTTTGTTATTTTCCTTAAAAACAAACAACAAACTTTTTTAATCACTTTAAAGTGGTTCTAAATGCATAAGGTTTTTTTCTTAATGCATTCTATCTGTTAAAGTAGTACACTCTCTGGGTGCAGCCCCCCCCCCCCTTACCATTACCCTAGCCCCATCTTCATCCAGCGATGCGCATGAGAGAAACAGCTCTTCCAGTTCTTTCTCTCCTCATTAGCTTACACAGCAGCCGGAGCCATTGGCTCCTGCTTCTGTCAATCACAGCCAGAGAGCCAATGAGGAGAGAGCGGTGGTTGGGCTGAGGAGGCTTGCGGTTAGGGGCACTTGGCAGGGGGAGGAGCCAAAAAGAAGAGCAGAGGTATTGCTCTGTGCAAAACTATTGCACAGAGCCTGTAATTCAACTTTAACATTCAAACGCACCTAAGCATTTTCTGCTCTCCAGCTCCTCACCTGAGCTTTTGATGTTTTTTCTCCAGCTTGTAAACATTCCTCTTCTAGTACATCTGTAAACAAATGTGTGCATGGTCACATAGGCTAACATAGAGGTGCTTGCACAATCTGAAGAAAAAGTCAAATGCATGTAGAAGCAACATTGTTTAAAGAGGCATTAAACCCTTAGATGTGGTGGCTACATTAGTTTTCTCTTTTTTTAGTTTTTTTTTTCTCTTTTTTCACCTGGTATCTGGCCAGTAACACACCTCCTGTATTAGAGTGCACCCAATCTGGATGAATGAGCACAGGAGGCAACATTGTCAGCAGCATTGTCAGTCTGGAGGGAGGAGCCAAACTCTGGCTAATACTTTCTAAGCAGTTACAGCAAACAGTTTCTTCCTTTTGGGATAAAGGTTTTGCATAAATAAATGAAACCGATCATTACAAGCACCCTGTCAGTAATAAATGGTTTGTCTTATCCCTCCAACTGATATATCTGCAAGAGCGCTTGTTCTTTTGAAAAACAACGGACTTACTGGCTGGATAACGAGGTGAAAAGAGAGAAAACAAAGCCTGAAAAAGACAACTAATGCAGACATCACATCTAAGAGTTGGTAAGCTGCAATATAATAATTTCTTGCTTTTGGGGTTATTACTGCTTTAAAGTGATATTAAAGGCT